AATCTACTGCTAAATTACAGTGTTTCCTTTTTGTTGACTCATCTTTGGCATGATTTCTTAGATAAAGCCTATATTTTTCATATCACTGGATTATATTTGTAGAATGTTACTGAACTTTTTTTTTAACACTTACATTAATAAATGAAACCAGATCCAGTTTTATTCCAGGCTATTATCTTGCTAAGGTGTCTGCATGTGAATATTTTTCCTGAAGACCGAGTTAGGTACTTTTTGTCATACAGGAATCATTTTTTACTGTGGTCACTATTTGTTCCTTGAACATTCAGAGGAGAACACTCATGGTAATTTTTGTGTTTCATCTTTTATGTAAAATGGACGTTCCATTTTATTATAATTGGAAGATTTGTAACCATGTCATTGTACATTGTATTTTTTATTGATTTGTAAATCTTCAATGCAGACTATTATGTCTTCTACATTTCTAATTTTTAAAATTTTCTTAAATGACTTTATTACTCTTTTCCTTTTTTCTATTTTTTTAAATAATTTTCCTCCTACCCTTTTCCTGTCTGATTGTTGTTATTGTTCCTTTGCTCAACAGAGATTTCTTGAAGACTCTGTTTTGTTCACTACTGTATCTCCAGCCCCTGGAACATTGCTTGTCAATGTTCCAACATTTCAATGTGCTCATGAACGTTGAATAAATGAATGTTTCAGGTACTTTCCTGGATCCTGGAAATATCAAGGTGACTAGGATGTGAACTTTGATGCCCTCAAGAAACTTATAGTCTGGATTCATTTTCTGTTTGTATGCTTGGCTCACTATTCTACTCCTCTTTTAATAACACAGCATTTAAAGCTATGCCTTGTCCTCTAAGTAGTGCTTTGGCTGCATGATGCACAGTTCTGCTATACAGTGGTTTGATTACTTGATTTCATTACTTTTACGTACCTCCCCCCACACACCCCACATTTATCCCTTCTAGGCTATTATTGTGTCAGTTCCTTCCTTAATTCAGCTGTGATTTAGGAGACTTTAGATATATCCAGGTAGTTGGATGGCTGTGGCTCGTTTTGTTATTTATTTCTATTTCCATCATCTTGTCTTCTGGGAGTGTGGAATGAACACTTTCTGCTTTGGGTGTATTCATACCTAGCTGTTCAAGAAGCTGCTGGGTTCTTATTTTTAAGATCACTAACACTAAAATTTCTAGGAAAAAAAGTATTGGGTCCCTTTTGAAGCAGAGCATGTGGTTAGAACATTTTTGAGAATTTAAAAAATCTGTAAAGACTCTCTGTGCTCTTAAATGACATCTAGGTTGAGTTCATCCTAGGTCAGTAGTCTTTTCCTTGGAGATACTGTTGCAGAATTATAATTGTATTGTCAAGGAGTGTGAATGATATTAAATATTACAATTTTTAAACTTATAGGGCTGTTTCTGTTTATCTACTTGGCAAGTTCATAAAAGTTCATAAAGTTCATAAGCTTATCTACTTGGCAAGTTCATAAAAAGAGGTTTAGGTGCTGCCATTATAATAATTGGATCTTCATGAGACTTTTGAATATCTGGTTTCAGCTCTTTTGTAAGCCTGGAAATTGTTTTCTTTTATATACTTAATCATCAATTATGCATCATTTTTTCCCCATCCTGCCAGCTATAGGTTAAACCTCTATGCCTTCTCTCAAAGGCTATCGGCTTTTATTACACGTTCTTTTCATCTGCTTATATAGTCGTCTCATATTTTCTATATATACTTCCCTAAGACTCTGCTGTTGTGCGATTTGATTTTCAAATGATTTGAAAACTATGGGTTTATTTCCTCGGCCTTCAATGAAGCAGTTATAATTGTGGTGACGTATTTTTGGGTTTTGTTTGTTTGTGAGTTAATATCCTGACCCTGCTTGCAGGAAGGAAGCTTTTTTTGCTGAGTGCAATGCACCAGAGAAGTACGAGTTGGGGAAGCTACTGTCATCGTAAGTTGACCAGATCCCAGGGAAAAGCCAAGTAACAAGGTAGTGTTGGGAAAACCTGCCAGCGGGCAAAAGTGATTAAGGAAGTTTTATGGAAGGACTTAAAAATATATTCCCTCCTTGGCCAGAAAGCAACAAAGAAGGGGTTCACAAATGAATCAGAAATACAAGCCCATCACCAGTCATCAGGAAATTGTGTTTCTTATAAAGAAGATGCCATTTCTGTGTGTTTTCCCCTGGTAGTAAGTGATTTATAACAACAGCATCAAATGGAACAAAATCCCTCCATGGAAACCTATAAAAATGAAGGCGTCTGGCCCAACTGGCCGGAACATCATTAGTTGAAAGCCAATTCACTGAAATTAAACCTGACTGGCCAATTTGATGCACGATCAATTTGTCAAAGAAACTATTTGCTAAATTTACCAAATGTACTGACTATGGTTTTAAAAGCCTTTAGAAGGAAAGTCCAATTTGACTACTGATGAGGAAAGATTCTCTTTTGCACGGTAACTAGGCTAAGACTGATATGGCATCAGAGGAATTGACAAGGGTATCTTGAAATAGCTACATGAATAATAAAACACAAAACCACACAGGCTGGAAAAAACCTAGTGTATGTTGTTGCTGTTGTTATTCTTAGGTGCCATCGAGTCGATTCCAACTCATAGCCACCTCACGTACAACAGAACAAGACACCGCCTGGTCCTGTGCCATCCTCACAATCTCTGCTATGTTTGAGCCCATTGTTGAAGTCACTGTGTCAATCCATCTCGTTGAAGGTCTTCCTCTTTTTTGCTGACCGTCTACTTTACCAAGCATGATGTCCTTCTTCAGGGACTGACCCCTCCTGATAACATGTCCAAAGTATGTGAGACGTAGTCTTGCCATCCTTGCTTCTAAGGAGCATTCTGGCTGCACTTCTTCCAAGACAGATTTTTTTGTTCTTCTGGCAGTCAATGGTATATTCAATATTCTTCACCAACACCATAATTCAAAGGCATCGATTCTTCTTCGGTCTTCCTTATTCATTGTCCAGCTTTCACAAGCATATAAGGCAACTGAAAATACCATGGCTTGGGTTAGGTGCACCTTAATCTTCAAAGTGACATGTTTGCTTTTCAACACTTTTAAGAAGTTTTTTGCAGCAGAGTTGCCCAATGCAATACATTGTTTGATTTCTTGACTGCTGCTTCCATGGGTGTTGATTGTGGATCCAAGTAAAACAAAATCCTTGACAACTTCAATATTTTCTCCGTTTATTATGATGTTGCTTATTGGTCCAGTTGTGAGGATTTTTGTTTTCTTTATATTGAAGTGTAATCCGTACTGAAGGCTGTGGTCTTTGATCTTATCCGTAAGTGCTTTAAGTTCTTTTCACTTTCAGCAAGCAAGGTTGTGTCATCCGCATAAGGCAGGTTGTCAATGAGTCTTCCTCCAATCCTGATGCCCCATTTGTCTTCATATAGTCCAGCTTCTCAGATTATTTGCTCAGCATACAGATTGAATAAGTCTGGTGAAAGGATACAACCCTGACACACACCTTACCTGATTTTAAACCACACAGTATTCCCTTGAACAACTGCCTCTTTGTCTCTGTACAAGTTCCTCCTGAGCACCATTCAGTGTATATGGAATGCTATTTTTCCAATCAAAATTTCAACCTTTCATATATGATGGGATTGTTTTGGTTCCTTAAGATTTCTTTCACATGCTTTCGCATGTTATTTTCTTTATTTTCAAACTTTAAGCATATAAAATATTATCTTCCTAATTCTTCAGATGGCATATCAGCCATCTGCATTTCTCACAATTAAAACCTAATAGGACTCGAAATTAATTTGAACGTTAACTAAATTTAAAATGTAAAATCAAAAGAACCTAAAATAAATCAGAATATTTACCAACTGGTCATTCAGTGACTGCAGTATTGGAAAATTGAAGTGTTGGTGAATTGGCCCATTTTTAAAAAACACCATGACTGATAATTTGGGGCCATCACCATGCGGGCGGAAGGTAGGCTGACTTTAATATATTTCCTTCTGGTGCCCTTATGTGCTTGTGGAATGCTGTTGTTGTTGTGAGCTGCTGTTGAGTCGGCCCCCGACTGATGGCGACCCCATGCACAATGAAACACTGCCTGGAATGAAACACTGCCTGGTACTGCGCCATCCCATGATTGGTTGCGGATTGGTGTGATCCATAGGGTTTTCATGGGTTGATTTTCAGAAGTAGATCACCAGGCCTTTCTTCCTAGTCTAGGTTAGTCTGGAAGTTCTGCTGAACCTGTTCGGCCTCACAGTAGCATGCAAGCCTCCAATGACAGAGGGTGGTAGCTGTGCATGAGGTGAACGGGCCTATAATGGAACCCAGCTCTCCCACATGGAAGGTGAGAATTCTACCACTGAACCACCACTGCCTCCTTGGTGAATGCTAAAACAGCCGAAGGGCTGCTGGCTGCTGCAAGAAAGGGGGGCAACAGCCAAAGACTTCAATGCTGCACCCTGTTGCTGTTGTTGTCAGCTGCTGTCAAGTGGGTTCCGACTCAAGGCGACCCTACGCACACCAGAATGTGACACTGTCCGGTCCTGCGTGATCGCTGTTATGCTTGAGCTCATTGTTGCAGCCACTGTGTCAATCCGTCTCGTTGAGGGTCTTCATTTTTTTCGCTGATCCTCCACCTTACCAAGCATGATGTCCTTCTGCAGGGACTGGCCCCTCCTGATAACATGTGCAAAGTATGTGAGACGAAGTCTCGCCATCCTTGTTTCTAAGGAGCATTGTGGCTATATTTCTTCCACCCTGAGTCAATGTAAAAGTCCTCACCCTCTACTTCATGCCCCAGAGCAATTGGCCTCAACTCCACTTTAGTTTTTTTTTTAAAAAAAAAACAAGTTAAGTTCAACCACCACAAAAACAAAACCTGCAAATAGCCACAAGGACTTCTGAGCTCGGCCAACTGCCCGATCTTCAGAGTGCAGCAGAGGCACCTGGACAGCCAGGCCAGCCCCGAGGCCACACTGTGAGCCAGCTTCCTGACCCCTCCACCCCCAGGGGCAGTCCTTACCCATAAAGCTCCTTGCACAGGAGCGTGGTCAGTTTCTTCAGGTGAGGGAGACTGCTGGAGCCCGTCTTCACAAACTCAGAGTCGAGGACTAGCTGCGTGCTTAAATAATCCTGGATGGCTTTAAGATACTCGTCCGGAAGCCTGAAAACAACAACAACAAAGCGTGCTTTAAAAAAGAGAGAGAGAGACATCCGCGGAAAGCGGGGGAGGGTGTCAAATATTCAAATGTACAAGAGGAGGGATAACCTGATATTGCCAAATCACCCACAATATTAAGTTCTCACTTATATTTGTTTAAATATCATTTGGAATAAGATAATGGAATAAATAGACATCATTTCAGTAAAAATGTAGCGAAGATTCATTAAATATGTTTTCAAAGAGACTGGATTGCGATACCAAAAGAACAGCAGCAACAACAAAAAAGCCTGACCTGTTCCTTTTAGCCACAAACACCACCAATAACAACAACAGCAGCTGCAACACCAAATCCTCATTCTCAGAGTCTCCGACTGAGACCCCGTCCTCCAGGGGACATCTGCAGGTCCCATAGGTCTGACTGAAGGGGGGCGTACAGGTCAGAGCAAGATGAAGCGGTCTAGCCAGGGAGGGGGCCAATGGACTGACCCACAAAGCCAACCCTGCCTGCCTGCCCTGCCGGGTGCTGCCGGAAGGAAGCCTGGGGACCGGCAAAGGTTTATCCTCTGCAACGCAGGTTGCAGTCCAATAGATTCTGACTCGTGCAGCTCCAGATATTATACAGTGGAACTGCTCCATAGGGTTTTCAAGAACGTGACCTTTCAGAAGCAGATCACCAGGCCTGTCTTCCGGCGTGCCTCTTGGTTGGTTCAAATGATCAACCTTTCAGCCAGCAGTTGAGCGCTTGACCGTTTGTGCCACCCAGGGATCTGTTTCCTACATTATCCACTCACAGACAGGATCTCAGGGTTGGAAGGATGATGGAGTCTAGAGATGGCAAACAGCTTTAGCTCACATACCAATTCAAAGTTCACAGCCAATGGCTACCTGGAAAGGTCCCTGGGTGGCACGCACAGTTGTGATTGTCTACTAATCTAAACGTTGGCAGCTCAAACCCACCCTCCGGCACCATGGAAGAAAGGCTTGGTGATCTGCTTCTGTAAAGATTACAGCCAAGAAAACCCTATGGAGCAGTTCTACTCTGGAACACATGGGGTTGCCATGAGTCAGAACTGACTCAATGGCAATGGGTTTGGTTTTTCGGTAGGCTACTTGGAGCACTGTGTTTAGAGGGGCTCTGAGTCATCCCAGGCCCTGTGGGTGTGTCTGCAGGATTAGTGATAGGGGCTGGGAATATGGCATGGGATCATGGCAGCCCCTAGGTGCCATATTTGATCTGGTTCAACGCTTTTAATTTACAGTGAGGTATGAGGGATCTGAAAGGGCAGGGGTTTGCTCGGTGCTCACACTGGCCCAGCAGAGACCACCCGGGGCTGTCACCTAAGTCTGATCACACCTCTACACTCTATCTCCAGCACCTGCTTGTTCTGGGTAACTCTGGAGTCTTTGTTCCTATAATAACAAAAATCATAATAACAGGAAATATTTACCAAGCATAACTATCTACCAGGCGCTATGCTAAATACTTTATATGCATTTTCTCATTTAATCCTTAAACCAATTCTGTGAGGCAGATATTATTATTGTTCTTACTTTACAAACGAGGAAGCTAAGGCTCAAGGATGTTAATCACTTGTGTGAAAAATTATTACAATTAAATACCTTCGCTCCAGGCTTGCTATATAATCAAGTAGAAACTAGAGGCCACAAATTTTCTTCCTTCCTCGCTTTCTTTCTTCCTTCCTTCTTCTGACACACACGGGGCCACCATGAGTTGGAATCTACTCTATGGCAACTGGTTTAAAGACTGTTGGCCCATAACCCTGAGACCATGAGTACTTGCTTATAGCAAACTATATTTGTTAAAATGTTTGTTGTAGAAAATTGTCCACTTAAAGATGTAAACAATGTTTGTTACAAAAGATTGGTTTTATTTAGCAATCTTGTAATAATTAACCTATTAACTATGTCCTAACTGGTAAGAGCTAATTAACTTGGATAAAGACTATGCAGATTGTCTTATAATTAGGGCTAATCTAAAGGCAGTCAGTCCTCCATATGAAAAGCTATTTTATAAGCAAAATCGATGAACTTTAAAACACAACGCAGAATCTTCGTTTTGAGAATTGAGGGCAGGCCCTATGCCACCTCTTTCTTTGGTCCCTGTGCCAAGCGCCGTTACTCAGCCCATCTCCAAGCAGAATTTTTAGGAAGTTTCCCAAACGAGTGCTAGTTGAGAAGCACAGAGCTCTTGCTCAGAGGCCAC